AGAACATGCAAACTCCACGCCCCACCAGGACGCGAACCGGCAACCTTCTTGCTACGAGGCAACAGTGCTACCAACTGCGCCACCCTGACTTGTTGTTCCACTGGAAAATGTAATCAAATCTAAGCCTAAAATCCTGCTGTTTCATCAAAATCACTTTATTCTACACATCTCGTATAATAATTAGCTAAAAAAATTAACCGACCACAGTAACCGGATTCTGTAAAAAAATAAATAAATCAGCGCTTCTCTTCACAATCAATAAGGCTTTAATGACTGTGCTCAAAGGGCACAAGACAAACATTCAGAAACGTCTGGGCTGGACTGCAGGCTGTGAGCACGCAGAGAGATGCACATTAAAAATAGAAGCAGGAAAATATCTATAAAAGGTAAAGTCAATACATTATTTCCAATATAGATAACACCTGTGAGCACTTGGAAAGATGTTGTGCACTCTGATTCCAGGGTTTTTTTAAATGTCTTGTAAAATAAATAACTTAATTTTTTCCTTTATTGTTTATTTATGACACTGTAACTTTCTCTCAGCTTCTAGTTCTGGTTTCCACAGTCGTGCAGGACTTTATATTACCAGAAAAACACAAAGAAGAAAACAACAACAACAACACAGAAACTGTTCAGGCATCATATTGTTGAGCCTCTCTCACAGCTTATATTATATATGTAAACGCATGCACACAATGAATATACATGCACATCTGGACGTGGACTCACTGTTGGTGAGCTGGTAGGTTTTGGCGTTCGCTCTCAGCCAGCTGATGGCCAAATGAGCGGATTCTTTCATAACGTCTCCCAGCTGACCCGTCAGAGTGAGCTGACCTTCCCCCTCCATCCGACTGGCCTCCACGAACATGATCTCCCCGCCGAGCGGCGTCCAGGCCAGGCCCACAGCTACGCCGGGCAGGGTGAGCCGCTCGGACACCTTCCAACAGGCACACAGAGAAACATCTGTAAAGCTGCGCTTGGTGGAATAATCACAGAAAGACTCCAAGGAGGAGGTTTTGCAATCATCACAAATTCAGCACAAGGTCGACATGACCTGGACGGATAAATGAAGAGAGAGAAGGAACATAAGAGCGAGGGAAGTTCAGAGGGAATAAAAGAGAGATGGAGGAGACCAGATATCAGAAAAAACAAGATCTTTCTCCACATTGTTCTGAATGATGACACATGCGTTCCCCTACTGCGTTTTCAGTCATTCAGACTTTATGAACACAGCTGCCAGCGCTTTATTCATGAGCTCCGATAGAGATTCTCTGAGGTCCTGCGAATTCAGGCAGTCGTCCTGCACATGTTTCTGTAATTTACTGCTTCTTCGGCGCCTTGCTACATCGTATACAAAGCTAATCCTCCAGAGAGGCCGCTCTGAATGCGACCCTTCCTCTCAGCACCTCACCTCCATTTCAAACAGCGGCGGACCCAGGATGTCTTTCAGGGCGATGTGGTCGATCACTATGGGCATCTCCGGGGGCGCCGCCTTGTCTGGAAACACACAAACAGCATAACAACATGTGTTCAAAGCAGGTAACCGATTTATGTTGTGATTAAAAGATTAAAGGAAGAACGTCTCTCGTTTACGTCCATGTTTTCTGGAATCAGGTGACTGCAGACTGTGGGAATAATCTCATTACTGAAAGCGAACGTAAACACACTGCGTCCTGCAAACAGACTTTGGATTGAAGGCCTCAGAGGGAAAGAACAGCTGTTAACACTGACATTATGCAATGATAGTCATCAAACAGACGCCACCTTTTGGAAAATGCAAAACACATGCACAGGAACACACATCATTTGCATGCACATATTTGTTTCGGTGACATCTGTTACCGGGCAACGCTGAGGTTTTCTTTTTTCCCCTCCACAAAGCAGCACAAAATTTCTTTCTTTCTGTTTTTCATCAAAACAACTCAGACTGAATTCAGTCTAATTTTAGTTGCATGTCTACTGATTCAGTGTGGTGGGATTCAACTGTTGCAGTTCAGTCTGCGGTCTGCTGGAAACGTTTTCAGCTAATCTGCTGCCTAATAAGAAAAGCCTGAAGATACATTTTAATCTCCTGGAAATCCTGCGACTTATTATGACTAATATCCAAATCGAATACGCAGGAGATTGTGTAGAAATTTCCCAACAAAGACCAGCTGGCTACTGAAAGGCATCGTGTTGTACTTTGAAGGAGACCACAGACATCCTGCAGCTGACAGAAAATATTGTTTTCAACTGGCATCACTTGACTGTTATTACAGAAATAGGCCGTCTGTGCGATCGGAGGGCAAATGTCAGACATCAGTCAGAATAATGTGACTGTAAAAACCGACGTCCACTAAACTGCTTTGATTTCTAGCGGTGCAGAGTCGGGTTTATGTATCGAATTCCCAACCAAAGTGACAAAACCCACCTGGAGCCAAACAGCTGTCAGTCTGACACACGACAAGCACACGGGTGTAAAACCTCACCATGTCAATCGGCGCTTTTTTCCACAGCTGCTTGGTCTGAGATTAAGCGGCGATGTGACATTTTGAGACGAGCCAGATATGCACAGAAAACTCACATCACCACCTGCAAGACGTATCGTTTCGGCATCGACGATGTGCACATGTGCATTGCTGCAACTTTGTTTTTGCTGATGGGGAAAAGCTCATTTGCATGGTTCTCATTTTCCATGTTTTAAAAGCTCCGTTCATTGAAGACAGTCCATGTAGGTAAAGCCACTCCATTTCACCGTGGGTAAATGTGAGCGGCAGCGCTGCAGTTCCTGAGTGGAGACTAGAGGCTCTTCTGTGCACAGCTGACTAGGTAGCATCTATTACCCTCCACATAAGGTGTTATGGGAACGTCAGTGAACTGTTGTATCTATTACTAAGCACGTGTTCACCAGGAGAGGCATTTTGGAGACAATTTAATTTATATTTTGCCTCTAGATATGCACTGAAGATCATTTATAGGCTTATTTTAAACAAAGATTTGTACGTTAGCAGAAATGAGGCACAACATGGAAGTGAAAGCAGCGATCTCTTTATTTAAATGTGCTTAAAAAACTCGTTATGGATCAAAATATTCTTGATTATCTTATGGCCATAATCATGCAGCCTCGTTAAGATATGGACATAAGTTGGCTACAGAAAGGATGATGTTGAGTAACAGCAGTGTCTTGCACATGACTCATTTCTTTGACAGTTTAAATCAGCACCACAAATGTCTGGGTAATAACAATATCATGAGTACAAATCTAGATCTGAGCAAAAAAAAAGAAGTTTTTTTTCAGATGTCTTTACCAGGGTTACACATAAGAAGGTTCCAAATTGCTTTTGTCAGCTTTTTTTATTTTATTTTTTTCCATTTCTGATGCAGTCTTCTGCAAAAAATCTCTCAAATATTCTATAATGATTCTTTCCAAATACTGTAATTTCCGGACTATAAGCCGCTACTTTTTTCACACCCTTTGAACATTGCACCTTAAAAAATGATGCGACTAATTTATGGATTTTTACGAATTTGCGTCGAGACAAAAGTAACATGAGAGCGACAATGAAAGAGAGACCGAGGAAGTGTGTGACGAAGTAATTCTGAGGCTGTTCAATTCCAACACTGAAGACTTTAGTGGTTTTAGTGCGCAGGAGGAAGATGAAGATGGAGAGCAATGACTTTTCCTGGTAGGCTGCTGTAGTTTTTTTATTTTTTTAACCAGCCGTGTTACAGGCACTGTTTGGAAAAAAAGCATTTACTCATTTGTGTGTGTCACCGGTACGTATTTAATTAAAAGTTAAAAAAATCTTTCTGTGTAAATAACTCATGTTACAACATGGACACCTGCGGCGTAGTGTGGCCTACATATGTACAATTTTGTTTTTCTTTTTTAAAGTTAGTGGGTGCGGCTTATATTCAGGTGCGCTCAATAGACCGAAAAGTACGGTAGTTATTCAAGTCATTTGATGATTTTCTTTTCCCAAGATTGCAGTCCTGTTAGCTTACTAAAGACACATTCTGTGGATGAAGCCTGCAACTACTTTGAGCTTCAGATGACTGCCTTACACTACAATGTACATGTCATAATTTAGTAGTAATTAATGATCAATACAGTGAATACTTACGACCTTTCAGTAATAGTCCAGTAAATAACTGCTGTTTCCTATTTACAGTAATTACCTAATAAAAGTTAAAAGCATCATGTGACTTTTATTGAGGCTGCGTTCTTTTAAACTTGCTTTTTATTATACAGTGTGGACATAGTCACTGTTTTATGCGCAAGCTGTGTGTGCAGCCAGACAGATTCATGCTGAAAGATTTATCAGTCCGCTCCAGCTTGATCTCGCTGCCAAATACAGACAGAAAACAGGCTGACAGCTCAGCCTCTCACCTCCCATCTGCTGCTGCTGCTGCTGCGTCTCAGTTGAAGTCTCCGTCTTGGTTAGTCGGTGACCCTCGGCGACCTTCACGGCCACGGCTCGGCAGATCGCCCCGATCTTCCTCTCCAGAGAGCGCACACCCGCCTCTCGGGTGTATCTAAAAGACGCAAGAAAGAACAAATAAAATTACGTTGACGTAGGATGAGGTTTCACTGTGGCATCTGTTGCTCCATGTGTAACAGTACATCTTGGTCGGGATGAAGCAGCAGCTTCCGAGGCTGAAAAATAAAGCGGAATGTAAAAGTGCAGTTCCTTAAATGGCCACTTGAGGCTGCTTTCAAAAACGAGTCAGTCCCCATAGACTCTCATGTTAAAATGTCCAACCTTTCAGCAGAAATAAACATGTTTACATCCTGGAACAGAGAACAGCTTTGCTCTGTCTAGCTAGACTCCTCAATCACAACAACAGCACGGGACGGGATTTTTTAAATAACTCACTAGTGTAAATTGTATTAAGGCTTAATGTTACGCATAATTAAGGGCGTGTTCACTTTGAGCGGCAGGTGAGTGCCGGAGACGTGCCTCGGCTCCCCCGGTTTGCTCATTTTCAAGATCAGATGTCACAACTGAGCCTCAAAACCGCTGCTCAGGAGTTTCACCGCCAAGCAGGTTTGCAAACACAAAGAAATTTGATGGGGTGGCTAACAAGCAGAAAAAATGTAAAGGATGAAAAGATTCATTAAGAAAGCAAGTGTTGCAAGTCAAATAAACAGCAGGTGGAGCACATCCAAGGGATTTTAATTAATAGAACACCATACATAGTATATGGTGTAAACAACTTCAGATGTGCAAAGAATAATTATAATCCTATTCCTGAAGGCATGTGCTGAGTCGTTGTCTGTAGTAGAGAGAGAATGAAAGCGTCGACGAGGGTCTCTAGCCTTGTTGATGAGACCAACTGCTGGTGGGAAAAAGCTGCTTCTGTGGATTCCCAGCGGTGGTGAAGGTACAGACGGTTCATACATCTTTATGCACAGGATGTAGTCAGGATGTGACCTGGTCACTGAAGGCTGGCAAACAAGGTTGTCATTGCCAGTCGGGAAAAAAGGGTTTGACCTGTAAATGAATCATAAAAATGCTAAACGGTAAATAGTTTGCACTTTTCCACCTTAGCAGTACTCAAAGCGCATTAAATCTATGTACACAGATAGACTGATGATAGTGGAGCTGGAATGTAAGGTGTTCATCAGGCATCACCAACTCTGGGTTCAGTGTCTCATCCAAGAGATGCGGGACTGAACTACCAACCCAGCGGTACCATCTGAACCACAACCTGGGATTTGTTGAATTTTTTGCAACAGTCAGTTAAAGTAGTATTTCATGCAACCTTTGTAGGATTTAATACCCAATATGTAAACTACTCAATTAAAATCACACCATAAAAGCCTCTATAGGGTCTTAATCCATATAGTTTAGATTGCGTTTGCAGTCAGAATGCTCTTCACTGAGGGACACTGGTGGCTGTTGTCGTAAATGTGCTGTATTATTTGCAATTTAAAAAAAATAAAAATAAAATTGCTTTGGTGCTTATTTCTTTGCATTGGTTTCAAACTTCTGTGTAATTTGACGTTTGTTTTATTGTGAAGCAATCTGCAACTTTTAAAAGGTGCTATACAAAAAATAAAAGTTAGCATCTATATTATAAACCTCTAAACCAACAGGAACAGGTCAAACACAGGAGAAAATAAACCAGGTTAAACAGTAAAAAGTTTAAATCTTAACAGAAACGGCAGCAGGCTGTATGTGAGGACCAGTGTGATGGCTTCTGCTGAATGTTTCTATCTGTCTGAGTCCAAACTCATCACCACCTCTTGTGCTTTGTTTTTTTATGTTTTAAAAAGATGTAACCAGTAAAAAGTGGAAGTGTCCCTCAGAGGATGAGCATGGGCTGTGTGCTTCTGGCTGTTGCTATAGTAACCAGACTGGAGTGCAGAGAGTGTTGTCGAGAGGCTCTGCGGGTCTGCAGACAAAATACTGCTCACCATCTGGAACGAGCAGAAGCCTCTGCAGCACCATTTCCTCGTGCACATGGCAGATCCGGCTGTTTTGTGGTCCGTCTTATCAAACACGATCATTGAAATCATGTTAGTGTCCAAAAGAATTACGCAATTAATCAGTTAGCTGACTGGTTCGAGGAGACGCTGTGGTTGAGGGATGTTTTCTCTAATCAGAAGGTCGCGCTGCCCGAAAACTGCTGGTCAACACTCAAAACAAATACCCGCGAAACCACATGACAACTTAATGGCAGCCTCTGAAGACCAGTAGTGGAATTCCAAGTGAGCCTCAGATGTGAGCTGCCAGCTGGCCGAGCTCTTTGCGTCACTCCTCTCACGCTGAATCCCTCCTTCGCTGACTCAATGTGGCGGCGTCTCTGCACATCGTTCACATAAACGTCCACATAAATCCGAGGAATTTCACTGAATTGTTGCTGTTGTTGTTTCAGTGGGATATACGAGCTCAGCAGCGTACGGAGGCAGCAGCAGTATGTAAATCTACTTAACTTGTCTTTGTATACCTAAAGAAATATTTACTGCAAGTGTTGAGGAAAATACATGAAGAGCTAATTGAGAAGGCAGGTAAAAGGTGCAAGAGAAACTATTGCACCAATAAAATCAGGTGGGTGACAAGTTAAAGCAGGATGAAGTGTTTCAGTGAGGTGTTGGCCCATCATGTACCACCAGAGCAGCTTCAGTGCTTCTTGGCATCGATTCTCCAAGTCTCTGAGCTCTACTGGCGCCATTTAGTGTTTTGATGATGGTTTTGGAGAGCGCACCATCTCTGACTTGCCAGACATTTTTATAGCACTAAATGTGGCTATTTATGATGATATTTGTGAAATTTTAACACTTTCCAAGACAAAAATTCTTTAAGAAGTTTCCCTCCACTTTTAGCATGTTTGAATGACAATAAATCAAGAACTAATAAAGATAAAAGCCTGAAATTTTCACTGTTATTTCTCATCGTGCCATTGATTCAGAATCACAGACAAGTGGATCACATAGTCTCTGATTATGGGGGAGCTGAAATATGAAAAAAAAATTGGTTTGGTCTGGTTTTTCACCACTGAACTCTAAAATTCATTTATCTTCATAAGAAGGAGTTTATGCACCACAACACAACATTAATAATAATGTCTGTCTGGCTGTCGGTGGACTGTTGTTGACCTAAAACGTTGCTCTACTGTTTCTCCTTATGTATCGCACTCAAGCTTGGTCAGCACATGGCATCTAAACGCAGACGTCATTTTACTCACTGTTCCTATTGAATACCGTCTTTGCCACTGAAGCTCCTGCCATCTGTGCCCCAATAACAAACTCTTCTATAAATAACTCAGATCTTTTTCTTGTTGCCACCTTGATACAACATCCGAATGAGTTTTTATAGCTGCCACAGAGCCATGCAGTGTGAAAGCATCCGCATTTATTTTTCCTCTAATTCATTTACGTTGGCACCCGTCTACAATCATACAACATAAAATACTTTTAAACAAGAATATCTGTGTAAAATCCCTCTATAAAAGCTTCTCAAGGGTTACAGGCCACGGAGCAGGGTTTTTCTTCTCAACGTCTCGTTGTATAAAAGGAGGCACAGAAGGATTGGTACAATTCCACCTGACTGATAGTTTTATGACGGCATATATATATATCATCACTTAAGTATTTCAAGAGTCTGCCACACTTGTTCCGGCCAAGAAAGCGTCCAGACGCAGCCCTGCATAAATCTACAGCAAGTTTGGAGTACAGAAATAACAAATTAGAAAGAATGGGCCAGTTACTGAGCATTAGGAGGTGCTGATAAATGGACTTTGTCACCTTCCTTCCTACAAAGTCAAGTCAGCTTCTTTTCCTCAACAATAGCCGCAAACAAAAAGCGGCGCTCGTACAACTATTCTGAGCTCCGGTTTGGTCCCTTCTCATGTTGTTTATTTCTGTGCGTACCTGCTGATGATGTCCTGCGTGCTGTCCTGAGGTATGTGCAGCTGCTGAGGTGTTAATCCGTGCTGCTCCAGCTGGTTCGGGATCAGGTGACGGTGAGCTATCTCCACCTTCTCCTCCTGGGTGTAGCCTGAAACAATGGATAGTTTAAGAAAAAGGATTCCACATCAATTCTTGTGTCATCCCTTGAATATTTTATGAGGGTGACAGGCTTCAAATTATGGTGATATAATACAATTCAAGTGATAGTCATTTGAAAGCATAGATCATTTTAATACTGCAGCTTTACATATAGTTGATAAATACCCCATTATTGATCATATATGACTGACTGTATTGGTAATAAATAGTTTTTGACTGTTGGCGGCAGAGACTTTGGTGATTCATAGTGTGTCCACACATCTGCGCATATTTAAATGAGAACAGATACACAGTTGGAAACAGTCATTGTCTCATCTGGTTTGTGTGATTGTGCAGCATAAACTCAATTACAAACATGCTTGAAATCAGCACCATTACCAGATGGAAACTGTGGAGATGATTCCTTAGAGATCCCATATGATGAAAATCCTACTTTGTGTTTCGTGGTTGTTAAAAACATGGAGGTGTAAAGCAAGAGACGTTTACTTTTGGCGTTCTTCTCCATTGTACAAGCCAGCCAGAATTATACTGAAGTACCAAACACCAGCTATGACATAACAGCCGTGCAGCTCACAGTTTGTATAATCAAGATGAATCATTCAGAATGAGTAGCTGCCTCTCAGTCCACCAGCGTTATTTACTCCATGCACTCCTGGCATCAAGATCCAGTGGATTCATTATTGATGGTAATGTCACAATTAACTGTAAGTGTTAGCAGGTTGTGCAGCTAATGAGGCTAATGTTACCATTAGCTTTAATGATCACAGGTCAGAGCTCTGTGGAAACTGTAACGCTGAGGAGCATTCAGAGAAAACTTAAAGACACATCTGAACCCACTAAACAAGGGCTTGATGTGGGTCAACGTGTTGTGATGTCGGCTGTTGTGCTTCAGTTTCAGCATCTGATTGCTTCTCTCCTGCTCTCTGTGCTCACATATACGGTGTTTGAATCCAGCTGAATTCCCAACAAACGTGTTCTCCTTTACATATTTTTCTGTTTCTGGTGTCAGCCTTTTCCAAGTTGCTAATCTGCACCGATAAACTGCAAATGACCTGACAAATTCAGCAATATTTTCATTTAAAATGACAGAAAGAAGCAATAGAAAGTCACAAACGTTCTATCACATACTAGTTGGCTGCCATGGTCGACTGCTTTTATTTAATCCAATCACAGACACAGAGAGTCTTGTTCCTGAACAGGATGTGGACAACAGCAGCTCACGTGTATTTACAGCTACAGACACTCAACCAGTCCAATTTGAAACAAAAAACAGAAGTAATTCAGTCATGGTGAAATAAAGCATCTTTGTGGTATTTAGAGCTGAAAACTTGGTCGACACACTCTGAGAACATACGAGACTTTCATTGATTTGCAAAAAAAACTGGTGCTTTAAAGCTGAGCGACGCTGCAACTAAACCCACCTGGTACCTGCAGCACCTCCATCCTGTCCAGCAGAGCCGGAGGGATGCTCGCTGTGGTGTTTGCAGTGGCAATAAAGAGCACTTGGGAGAGGTCGAAGGCCACGTTGAGGTAATGGTCAGTGAAGCTGTGGTTCTGCTCTGGGTCCAGGACCTAAGGGAACATATACAGACGGCATCAGTTTAGCGCTTAATCAAAAAGTGATGGTAAGAACATGTAAAGGTTATTTAGGGAATTCATAATCTGAGAAGCGATCTGATATACAGTGCTTAATAAATGTATTAGACCAGCTGTCTAATTTGTTAAGCACTGCACTATAAAACATCCAGCATCATGAAGTGCTTTAATGCTCACTTATCTCTTGATGTTTTACCATTTTGAAGAGGAATTTCAAACTGAATTCACCTTTTTATACCCACATTTGAGCCACTGGTCTTCTCCGAGAAGTCAGAAATGAATCAAGCATAACATTCAGCCACTAAAACTAATTTGTCTGTTCAGGAATGAAAGTAAATAACTACAATCTGACATTTTAATCAAGAAATAATAATGTGCTTTACTATTTTCTTTTTGGTAAAACAATAAATTGAAAAATTCATAGATAACAATAATAATTGTATTTTAGAATTAAAAATGTCATTTTGGTTGAAGAGCTTCTACATACTGGTGTATTAACCATTACAGAAACATGAGAAATTATTTAGTTAATTACTAGTGATGCACAATATTAAAATTTTTGGCCGATACCGATATCTGACATTAAGATTTCTGATATCGCCGATAACCGATATTATCGATGTCGATATTCAATTTTTGTTCACATCGAAAAATGAGTGTAAGTAAGCACTGTGAGAACGTGAAAACTATTCAAAAGAAGCCCAAATTAGACCACATAGACTTCTTTATTAAGCAGCAAAAGCAAAACATATTTAAACATATTTTATGATATTTAACATTCAAGTCCAGGATCATTTAAGTAAAAACACCTGAGAAATAGCAGCGATATCAAACGTAGAGACGAAGGCGCTGATGCTACACAATCATCAGTTAAATTTGTTCATCGGACCGATACGATATATGGGAAAAAACACTAATATCGGCTGATACCGATGTGATGGCCAATATATCGAGCATCCCTAGTAAGTACCAATGCTGTTAATGTAGGTCAGCTGTGGGATAAACCTTACACTCGATGGTGGTCCAATACATTTGTTAAACACTGTAATTCTACAAGAAATCTGAGAGAGAAAAGACCAGCTGACCTCGAGCAGAGCGGCTGCAGGGTCTCCTTGCAGACTCTTGCCCAGTTTATCCACCTCGTCCAAGAGGAAAACGGGATTATTGACGCCCACCGTCTTCAAACCGTTGATAATGCGTCCAGGCATGCTCCCCACATATGTTCGCCTGGAGACACGGGTAAAGGTTTAAAAAGCTCACGTACTCTGAAAATGTTTCCACTCAATTTTAAACCCTCTCGAGGCTCACAAAGTAATTTGTTCTACCGATGCCAACAGGAAAGAGTAGAAACTGTGTGAATTTCCCTTCTGGGATGAATGAAGTATTTTTCATTTCATTTCATTTCAAACATGTATGTCATGGATCTGTCCGAGTAGTTTCTGTGTTATTACATGTGTGTTATCCACTCATTCTAGACAGATGCATCGCTTTGCCGTGCCACAACACGGAAACATAAGTGAAAAAAGAAACCAGACACGTTCTCTGCAGTGAAGTGTGTGCCACCTGGGCAGTTTATGGGGAAATGAAAAAATAATCAAAACAAGACAATATAAGAACCTCAGAGACACTTTGTTAAATCGAACAAATTGCAGAATGAAGTGTGTCTGAGAACTTTCATCTTTATCTGTGCCCCCCCCTCCTGCTGCTGGTATGTCTGACACATGGTACTCATCTGGCTGTGATAACGTGTCTGTTTAGTCTTCACTTTAAAGACAACAAGATCCTCCCCCCGTAATCTGAGAGGAACTCTTTTACCCCGATGCCCTCTCGCCATGCACACAGGCACACACAACAGGCTCCGAGACACAACTTGTCAATCAAACATGGCTATTTGTAAAAGAACTCCTGTGTTGTACCGGATTTCAGCTTTGTTCCTCATGTAGGTTAATTGGCATAACTGAGCTTGCAGAAGGCATCTCCAGCACACTGCAGCTCAGTGGACTGTAGTTAATCACGTTTTTATTGTTTTAGAGCTAACTTGTTGCAAGGTCTGACAGAGATAAAGTCATGATTTCTGTCTCACTGAGGTCATTCCATCTCCAATCTTTAACAATTTTACAACAATTTCTGCTCAATCATCTGGCTGAAAATTTTCCAGCAAAGAATATAGACATTCATATAATTGATATATCAAGTATTTTTCCATGATAAAATGTTTTTTAAAACTTCCGCTGACAAACTTTGGGCACATTTTTTCACACACTGAAATTTGAGTCTATGTTTGAACGACAATATCTCAGGAACTAATTCAGATAAAAGCCTGTTATTTTCACTGTTATTTCCCATCATGCCATTTATTCACAATCTGCAATGTTGGACAAGTAGATCACATATTGTCTGATTCCAGATGAGTTGAAATGCTGTCATGAAAAGTCCCATTTCTGAGCACACATTAACAACAGAACTGATACTTCTCGATTCAGAATCTGCAATTTTGGACAAACAGATCAAAAAATCTCTGGTAATGAGTGAATAAATGTGAGCTGTCATAAATAGTCAATCTATATTTTCACAGATACAAGTAAGATGAGCGAGCAGGAGGCCCCTGATGACTTGAGATGAAGTGACACTTCACTCTGTCATTCTGCAGCCATCCAGCAGATGCCCTCAGACGTTCTTCCCCTTCCAGTCTCCCAACTCCATCACCTACAGACTTTGCTGTACATCTCTGGATTCACCACATCTACCCACATACTGGCCTCCTACCTGTATCACTATTATTTGAATTCACTGTCAAATTAGGTGAATTGACACTCGTTATAAAGGCACCTGTCAGGTAGTGGGACGTGTTAGGAAGCAACTGAACAACTTGATTTGTCGGAAGAAAGAAAAATGAGCAAGTGTATGGATCTGAGCATCTTTGACAAGGGCCAGACTGTGATGGCTAAACGACTGAGGCAGAGCATTTCCAAAAAAGCAAATCTTTAAAGGTGTTCCCAGCACGCAGTGGTTCGCTTTGCAACATACTAAACTCTGCTGGATGGAGCTTTCATTGGCTCTGTGAATGTGTATCAGATCGAAACCTTTCTCTGCTGCTAAGTGGAACGTGACCTCTCATGAGTCAAGTATTTAGATCGCATTTCAAGTATCTTCAATCACACTGACATGAAAACGCATTTGAAACGATTTAAGGTTCTCTCTCAAATGTTTCCTTGACAGACTCCTGTTGAAGAAGAGTAATGACACAGTGTTTTATTGAGTCCACTTGTCCAACAGGTTGGTGCAAGATGCACCAAAATCGCTTTGAAAGTCCCGATGGTATCCTTCCAACTCGCCCTGTGTGCAGTATAAATGACTGATGGGTGCAACGCACCAGTGCACGTGAAGCTCCTGCAGACTTTCAGCATTCACTCACCTAGCAGCACGGAGGCACTCACAATAGTACATAAGTGCTGGTTTTAGCTGTGTGGACTTTGTTTTCCCCTGACAAATACTTATATGCGAGTGTTGTCAGAAACAGGTAAATCAAACATGTTGAAGCCCTGAACAGACATCAGCTCCGTTTAGCCGCAAAACAGACAGAGGTTTAGATTTTCTGGTAAAATGTACAACATGTGTGAGGAACTGTATGAACAGCATTCTGACAGCCCTAAGTGTAGACAATCAGCTGTAAGAGTAGAGGAGCTCTGTGGTGTTTGTGGTGAACCGATGCCGAGGTCATGGGCGCCCAAAGCTCATTGTGTGTCCCACGAAAGAGCTGCTGTAGAGCTGCAATTTCTGAAAACCTAAACGCTGGCCATGATGGAAATATGTCAGAGCACACAATGCATCGCAGTTGACCCCTGTTTACCCCCCAAAAAATCACCCAGGAGTGGCATGTGAGCGTCAGAAATGGACCACGGAGCAACGAAGAGGTTGGCTGGGTCAAATGAATCCCATTCTCTTTCACATCACATGGAGGTCAGGTGTGTGTAGGCTGCGTACCTGGTGAAGCCAACAGACGCAGTGTGATGCTAAGAGCACATTCTGCTTGGAAACCTTTGAGTCTGGGAGTCATAAATATGAATGCCGCATTGAGACATACTTGAATCGTTTTGCAGACGATGTACACCCGTTCATGGCAGCGATATTCCCTGATGCCTGCTTCCAGCAGGATAATGCTCCCTGCCACACTGCAGAAACTGTTCAGGAATGCTTTAAGGAACCTGACACCCAACGTCTTGAGATCTCCACTGAATCGAGCATCTGTGCAATGTGCTGAAAAACAAATCTTATCGGAGGCTCCACTTCGCAAACTTGCAGGCCAGAGCAGGTTTTAATGGTGTGAATGCGGTTTCACGTTACAAGACATGAATGAAATCATAAAGATGATGAGATCTCATATCATCTCAGTTTTAGGAGCAATAATTCAGACTGGGGTGATCTTTAGAAGAGAGGGAACTGAGATCTGTCTTACAACTCCTCAGTGCTCCTCCTGGCTTTTTGTGAGCAATAAGCAAGACATGAATGAAATCAAAAAGATGCAATGAGGAGATCTCATCTATGGCTTACATTTCTCCTACAAGTCTCAAAAACTCAGTCTCACATTAGCTCAGCTCTGCTCCTAAGAGGGAGTTTAAGAGCAATAAATCAGACTGAGCTGATCTCAAGATACACAATTGGGATTAAATAAATCTCATGAAGATATTTAACTGAGATCTCCTTACTTTTGAAGAGTTCAAGAAAAGACTATCCTGAGCAAAGAAGTTTTCCTCTGGGAAGTCATCTGCGGGAAAATCATGTCAGCAATTTTCCGTACATCATGAACCATCCAGCTACTGGCATCAGCACTGCTTGATTTCTGCAGCTGATTCTCTACACTTAGGGCTGTCAGATTAAAGTTCACACAGTTCCTCAGACATGTTATACATTTGACCAGAAGAACTCTGTTTTGTACGGTGGCCGACGGGGACGAATGACGTGCATATACACAAACGAGCTGCATATACATGAATGCGTTACATAAATAGAAACGTGCTGCAAAAAGGAAACGCTGCACATCCACTCACACAGCAGAAGTGCCCCAGGCAGGGGCAGTAGTGAGCTTTTCACCTGAAAGGCAGACTTTTATTATTATTATTGTTTCGTGTCCTGGGACATGAAACAACAATAATACTGTACACACAAAGACATTACAGATCCTGTAGGATGGATCTCTTCCAGGTCTCCGGCAAGGCTGCGCGCTGATGCTAAAGGGGTTGCCTGAGAGCAAATTTCCCCCAAAACTGCCAGCGTAATAAAAACACAAAAATGCCACAATACAATGTACTCTTTTACACTTTACACTCACTACGATCACAGTACATCTTCCGGATGCCGTTTTCCTGCATGTGTCCTTCTTTTCAGACTTTACTAATGTTGATCAGTGTGGCCGCACACATCTGTATAGTGAACTCTATAGTTATTGGTGTGGACGGGCCGTAACAGGAAAACTGCTTAATGCGAGACTGTCGGAAGAAAACAACGACAAAAACATCACAGCTAATGTGCTGTCTGACGGGGGAAAAACGTGTCCCAGACACAAAAGATAATTCCAATTGAAATGTATTGGTTTGAAAGTTGTGCTTGGGAACACGACAAAGTTGAGCAAATCGTATCCCAGGACACAAAACAATAATAATAGCATTAAGTTTCATGACTATTTCATGAATTGCCGTGAGACTGGGTTGGCTTTTCTCTCGCTCGTCGTCGTCTGCCTCTCAGGTGAAAAGCTCACTAGTGTCTGTCTGTCTGCCTGTCTGGGGCACTTTTGTTGTGTGAGTGGATCTGCAGCGTTTTCTTTTTGCAGCGCCTTTCTGTTTCTGCAACGCATTCATGTATATGCTATTCATTTGTGTATATGCACATCATTTGCCCCCGTCGGCCACCATAGTTTTGCAGCTAAACAAAGCTAACACTTGTTCAAGGTTTCAAAATTAATGATTTCACTGTTTCTGATCAAACTTCCAAAGAAGTCCAAGTGTTTGTAAAAGGAAAACAAGACCCACACCACTAAAAGAAAAAAAAAAAAGAGCACACATGCTTAAAGGTGGTGGTCTAAGAACCTTTGTGCTGCTTAAATTGAAGAGTGTTACAGGTTTTCCAAATGTTGAATGTGTGCAGGACTTTCACGTGCACTTTTGCTTTCTAATCATCAGCCACATAAACTGAACACAGGTGGACTTTCAGGCGTGTTGGACGGATAACAACAGGACTTTCAAAGCGATTTCAGTGCATCTTGCGCAAGTCTTTTGGATTGCTACAATAATTTCATTACTCTTCTCCAACAAAGGTCTGTCAAGGAAACAACTTAAAAGAGAACATTTTCTGTCAGAGAGGTAGAAATGTGGTCTAAATAGCTGCCTCATGGGCCGCCGCTATAACTCACCTGGTTGAGCTGGCGTCCCATGTGCAGGGCTGCAGTCCCAGTGTGGAGGTCATGAGTTTGAATCCCACTCATGACCCTTTCCCACATGTCCTCCCCCCATTCTTCTCCCCAACTTTCCTGTCTCTCTCTGACTAAAATTATCCAATAAAGGCACAAAGGCCAAAAAAATAACTTTAAATAGCTGCCTCATGAGGGCTGTTTCTCCACTCGTTACACATCCACAGAGCCAATGTAAGTTTCACCATCACACAATGCACTCGTGCTGCTGTTACGTGGATTAAATCATCCAAGTCCTAAAACAAGATTACAGTACCGCACGCCACACACACCTGCAAGTTGAATTCTGCAGTGATGAATTGCCTCAAAGTCTCCTTTTTGACTTGACAAATGCATGTTTACAGGAAAGCACCTGCACATGGAAAATCTCTGCTTTCCAGGAAACTCACAATCTACGCTGTGATCTTCAAACATCTGCTCCTACAGACCCCTTGTATAGTCTCATGGGCATACCTGTGTCCTCTGATATCAGACTGGTCGCAGACGCCTCCCAAAGCAATGCGGTGAAACTCCCTGCCCAGCGTCCGGGCAATGGAGCGTCCCACGCTGGTCTTACCAACTCCTGGAGGGCCCACAAAGCACAGGATGGGGCCCTAAAGACACAGCGGCGGCATGAAATTCACAGATTAGGAAAAACTGCTTCATGCATGACATTACATTTTGTCTTCGGGCGACTATGAGAAGCACCTTGAGTGAAGTCTTGAGCTGTCTGACAGCCAGGTACTCCAGCACACGTCTCTTCAGCTTATCCATGGCATAGTGATCGTTGTCCAATAGAGTTCGAGCAGCTCGGATGTCCAGGCAGTCTGAGGAGTGGGTGTGTCGGGTGGGGTGAATGTTGATGAGATGGATGGTTAAAAAAAAAAAAAAAAAACAAGAAAAAAAAAAAGAAACCCAGAAAGCATTAGTGAAGAGTTTGCAGAGACAGAGGGATACGTGACTGTAATTTCAGAGC